ATATTTACTATCTGCTGAAATATCAATCAACCAGACTCATTAAATGCAGTGTCGATCGAAAAATTGAATTCTAAAATGCACGGTTCAAACTCAAAATGGCTATCAGTGTCAGTGCAAGAGTCAAACATTGATTATTGGCCCTCTCCAAATTTTTTTTTTCAAAAATCAAAAGACTGAAAGCAAGATAATATCAAAACAGATTGTTAACATTAGCACACCCTACTAGAAAAGAATACTCAAGCGAGTAACAGTCAGTATATAAACACAAACATTTTCATTAACAATTTAACATATATAACTTCAAAATCTTGCAAAGGAATAAACTATGCAAGACATGAATATTGTACCTTTTTCTTCTTCATAAAACAGTAAGATTTGCATGTACGTTTGTGAAGATCTTTGCCTAGGAACTGAATTCCGATATTTCATTCTGTATGAAAATTAGAAGCGGTATGATTGCCCATGAGACAATTATCCACCAGGGATCATATGACGAAGATTAAAGCAATTATCTGTAACCGTACGATCTTCAACAATGAGAAAAGCACATATTGTAAAGTCAGCTATAAAAGTCCCCGATATAACAATTTTAAATCATTTCAAGCGATAAAACTAACGACTTAATGTATGCACTAACATTTACGAAAATCAAATATGACAGACCTGAACGAAAGACAACCTCTGAATTAGAAGCTCCTGATACTAAATTTGACGTGGTAAGATATGTTACATTATTATAATGCATGTCAAAATGCAAGATTTAGATTGGTTGATACGAGGGAGACGATTTACTCTATCCCATTGCAAATACTCTATAACCCTTCACGGAGACGCTTGCTCAGGTGTGCGCTTTAATAAATACGAACGCTTGTTATGTACAAGACGTCAAAGTTTATTACTTTAAATAATACATTTTAATTTAAGATATAATAGACAGTAATGATAGAACATTCAGTATAATAAATTAAATAACACATATCTGAGAAGGCGATAGAGCAGATTATTACCCCTCAAAAAGACATCGTCAACCTTGGCTTCGCCTCAGTTGACAATGTTTTCTCGGGGTAACAACCTGCTCTATCACCCTCTCAGCTATGTGTTATTTATATATTGTTTACGACGACTATCTCAATTGTCTTACCTGTGTTTTGTGACAATCTCTAAATCATTATTCATAATAAAAATACAACACAATTAACATGAGTAACTCTCCAACTTTTATTTTAAATTTTAGATTAACTTGACCCGAATTTTTATTTAAATGTAAGGGGGAGAATACCCTTCATCTATATTTTTTAAGAGTAAAAAAATCATTATCTGCACTTTTTTGAACTCAGTAGAACATTCTATTTAGTTCGAGCAAACTTATAAGATATTGTTCCGAAAACCTTCAGAAATTGTTTTCTCCCTTTAGTAATACTCCTGCGCAAGTACAATTTTATAGTTTGATATGTTTTTCGGTAAATCATTCATTAAAATGTTCCTTGTGTTTTGACGGTATATACTTTTTGTTTAATGACTTAATTCTTGAATTAAACTGTACTGGAGTAGCCTTGAACGAAGACATATTACGGTCATAAACTCTCAAACAGATCCTTTTCGTTGTGAATTTAACCAAAATGATTTTTAATTCAATGTAAGGAAAATGTAAGTATCAGCACTTTTTTATGCAATCATAAATATAAAATACATGATATATAAAAAGTAATTGATGACCATAGATGGATTTGGCTACTATTCTTTTTCCCATGTGGTCACATACCTATCAACGTGATCGGTACTTATACATCCTTGACCTTAAAATAAATGGCTCTCACCTTACCTGATTAGGGTAAACCCAGAAAGGCGCTCGAACGCATATCAAATTTAAAGTATTATTTACATGTTGTACAGAGAAATCAAAGAAGTATTTACCTGGGATAACATTACTTTTTGTGTCTTCAACTTTAGCAGAAGGATTTCGATGCTGTAATCAATAGAATCAATACTTGTTCTGTTCAGATATTATTTGCATCGATCGCCTTATGTCGCATGCCAACTTTTTCATGTTGTTATTTTCATTTTGTGTAGTCTCGTATTTATTCTTACTGAATTTGTACTTGATTGGAAAGTCTGTATATGCATTATGTTTATTATACTATCAACGACAAAAAACATTTTGGTTCGTCTATGTTCGATGTAATTTTTGTTTAGATGGAGTATTTGATTTATTAATAAGAGAGTACACATGTGCTAAACCTTATTCCATAGACAGAACAATGTCGTGCACAAACACATTCCTAATATTGACATGTGCTTACAATCAAGCAAAATTTTAAGTTTCGGGATTAAGTATTAAATGATATATTACCAGACATAATCTGAACAAGGTTATATACAACATATAACATATAAACTCTCAAAATCGTTAGTGTCTATTTACAGGAACTAAACTTTAGCTATTTAGTCTATTTTTAATGATATCAGAATTGAAATTGTTATGATCTTATTCAAATACTGCTAAGAAAATGTAGAATTACTCGAAACAGTAAGGATGTTCTATCCCAAGGCATTGATGCATCATCCATATTTAGCATAACTCTCTGGATTTTAAGAATTTAATTGCTCTTTAGCTTCGTATGTGATTTGGCCATTATGTTGTTTTGATTGAGCATCACCAGTGAGTCTTATGTAGACGAAACGCCCTTCTGGTTATCAAATTATAAGACTTTGATGTCTTGAATGAGTTTGTCCCATACAAATACAATAAATATTAAAATCATTAAGGAAGTATACTTTTCTAAATTCTTGATTTTAGCTTTTTTTGGAGGGGGTGGGGGAGGTGGATGTTTGGGGGTTGGGGTGCGGGGTAGGGGGTTGTGGTGTAAATTGGAAAATATTTGAAAAATAAAATTGTAAGAATTTATAGCATCTTTTATTGCTGATGATTCCTTTATTTGAAAAAGAAAATAACGTGAAACCTAGCATACAATATTTCTATTTTATTTGTACATCCTATTTAATTTGTAATCTATCATTATATTCTTTCAATTCATTTAATGAAACATATCTTTAAATAATTTCATATTTCAATATTATCTTCAAAAAAAATAATCATATTTGAGATAAATATATTCTCATTTTTGGGACTGTAAATCGGTCTTAAATGTAATTTGAAAAAACACAAGTTTATCTCAAACTTTGCACATGACACTAATATCTGCTACACTCGAATGTGAATTGGCTATTTTTGAACATATGTCATACAAGTTGTAGGTTTATAGATATCAATACAACCAGGTTTTAACCCACCATTGTTTTTTTTTTCGCAAATTGACTGTTCAAGTACCATATCAGGAATATCGCATGCATTATCCAATCGCTTTTGTTTGATAAAGTCGACCATTTGATTTTATCAGGTTTTATTGACCTTCTCTTTTTCATTATGTTTATTAATTCATCTTTTCTAATTATATCAAAATAAATGAAAGGACACCTATTTGACAGTTTGAAAGTAATCTTATGAAAAAATTTCGTAGTATTGTAGGTAGGGTCTTGACAGATAGATAATGTCATATATAGTAAAATTTTTATTTCCGTACTCACTACTATAAGAAAAAAAAGTCGAAAGATACCAAAGGGACATTCAAACTCATAATTAAAAAATAAACTGACAACGCCATGGCTAAAAAAGAAAAAAGACCTACAAACAAATAATAGTACACAAAATATAGAAACTAAAGACTGAGCAACACGTATCCCACCAAAAACTGGGGATAATCTCAGGTGCTCCGAAAGGGCAAGCAGATTCTGTTCCACATGTGACACCCGTCGTGTTGCTCATGTTAGTACAAACCCGTTGATAAATCAAATTCGGTAGGTCACATTCGGGGAAAAGAGGACGGGATTGTAGATACGACAATTGGAACATATCCGTTGTCATTTGTAAAAAGTATATTCCATACCGGTCAACCAACTCGTGATGGCGTCCGTAAAACTTACGAAGGGATGATTTCAACTTCACCGGTGGGAACTCTTAGTAAATAGCGTCCGTGCGAGCAGCAGCCCTCTATCAAAATAATGACAAGAAATACAAACCCTGGAATATCGTGTCAACTGCGAGATAGATATTCCGTATGCAGGCGCTGCTGGAAAGTTGCTACATAGACATGAAAAATACCCAATTGGGAAGATGATATCATCTATTTGTCGTAAAGTTTTGTTTTCAAAAGACCCTAATTGCCAATTTATAGATGTAAGTCAATATATGAGGCAGATTTAACTGTATCTGTTATATCCTTAATCTCACGTTTGATAGGATAGATGCGTTCAACATAGTCACCAAATTTTGAGTTTTTTAGTGAGAGAAGATAGCTGTCGCCCTAATTGAATATTACCGCTCAGGAAAAGAAAAAGGAAAGGTCGCTCCTAAAGGTTTTATGAATTATCATCAATAGTTCTCATTATAACAAGATTTTAAGATGCACCAACATTTTAAACAAACATCAAAAAGTGTAACTGAAATGTACATTACTTCAGATGCACACTAATGAAGACGACGAGGACAAAAGGTAGACGGGCAAGGCTATATCATAGTTATATATGGAAAATCCAATTACAAATATACAAACATAGATAATTTGCTAAAATGTTCTTTTAAGCTGGTCAGCAAATAAAGAAGCAAATTTAATTGCAAACTTGTTATGCGAATTTTATAATATCAATACATAGTTTTATTCAATTTAAAAAATAAACTTCTATCCAATATCAATAGAATGTTTTATCTAATATCAGTTGGTAGTTGCATTGACCAAATATTGGTATATAAAATGAATGACGAGGTCGTGGGTGACTTCAAAATGTCCTCATATCAGTCTTCGTCTGTTTCGCTATGATATTACGTCGTCTGATGGTGTGTTTTCGATTATTTAGGCTGACGGGTTATAGCTAACGTTGTATTTGATTTTTGTTGATAGAAGAATAACCTGACAACGAAACGATAAGAACAACTGAACTAAAAGAAGACTGCATATAAGATATATACTGCATATGAATCAAAGAAGCTATGTATTTCATGTTGTTGTGGATCACTAATGGATTTTTTTAAAATTTAGCATCATATTTACAATTTGAACGAACCAACGCAAATTTCCGAAAAAAACGAAGGTTGAATTAAGCATCTGAGACTGAATTAATGTTTCTTTTATTTTATTTCTCTGCCTTTCCTTGCATTATTGAAAGTTCTCTATTGTCAATATTTGTAACAGGGGGATTTTACTATTATATATACACTAAAGACACATAAGATGTAGCATCAATACACACTGTTTCAAAGATTTAATGCATCTATTTTAAGTCAACTGTCCTTGTTTTTACTTTTATAAACGACGCGTCGTTGTTTTATTTCGCTCTGGAATCCGTACTTTTTTGTAAGGGGCTCCATTTTTTTAAGTGTAGGATGCTAATTTGAGACCAATGTTTCCTTTCTTCTCGAAACTCTGTTGGTTTGTTTTTGTATCAACTAATCAAAAATGTTGAGCATCGTTCATTTTCCTACACATTATAACTTTTGTTGTTGGCAGTCGTATTCCATTTTATGTGACAGTTTGTGCATCTAAAAATAAAAAAATATAACCTGTCAAGAAAGGCATTACCACTGGCCTATGATGTTGAAGACGAGGACATCTTATCCTCTCCATATTTATATTATAATTCGATAGCGTCGCAGTCATATTTTAATTTCGTAAATTGCGTTAGAATTTTACTGACTTTTTAAGAGATATTGTTCTATATTTTATTTAGAAAGCGATTGATTTTCAATTGTACATAACTGTTACTTTTTAAATTCATATTGTGAATCTTGGGTCCAAATATTTTTAATGTTTACTTTATGATGTTGATATTAAAGCTCATGATATTTATATACTTTGTAGAAAGATGACTTTTCATGGAACCAATAATTTTGATCATGTTAATAGCGACTAATGTAGCGTTTGAAATATTTTTTGAAAGATTATTCTTGCATATGTAAGAACCCTTTATTGTATAGAAAGAGATAACATATCAAAGGGTCTACCAGAAGAAGATAACCTAAATTATTGGTAAACTGAAGACTGAGCAACAACAACCTTACCGAAATGCTAGGGTGAACTCAGGTACTCCGGAATGGTAAGTTCCTGATTCACATATGAAAAGTTATTAAACAGTATGTTATTCTTTGTCTCGATTTAAGCGCATCTGAAAATTCTTTATATGCGAAACGCCCGTTTGCCGTACTTAACATTCAAGCCAGATGCGTTGGTGAATAGTTTATTTTGCATTTTAGGTTTTCATTTAGTATCGTATTCCTATATATGTTATGCTGTTTGAAATAACATTCGACGCATGGAACAAGCTTGGTGTAATGCATGTAGTTTTCAAAACTGAACATCAATAACATTTGACTTTGTTTTTACCGAGAATGCAACTATCAATTCTGAAATTTGATTTATAATTAAGAAATATATATTTATTAATAGAAACTTCACATAAATGATTTTTAAACATAACGAATTGGTTCGATTTATTTTCCTTTTTTATATTTAAAACAAAACTATGGAGTTTCTAAAGTTGAGAAATTTCTTGTGATCCAAAACCAAACAAAAAGTTAATTGAAAAACAAACGCCTTCTTCCATAGTCTCCCGTACTTACATTATTTATGCAAAGTGACGTTATGGTCATGATTTCTAACATAAAGCTGGAAACACCTCTTTTCGCAGTCCCACTGTATCTCGTTGTCGTGTCAACCGCTGAAAAAAGGGTATTCATGTATTCATTTACGGCAAATTTCAACACACATTGTCATTTTTGTTGTCTTTTATTTTGATTATATAAAAGAGGCGAAAGATATTAAAGAAACATGTAAAATTCAATAATCGAAGAAAAATTGACAATTGCGTCTCAGTTAACAAAATTCGACAAAATGTCAAATATGTCGACATCTAACTACATAGAAATCTAAAGACTGATCCGTGCGAACCCTACCAAAAGCTCGGTGGTGATCTCAGTTGACACGGAAAGTTGCACAGGTTCTGCTTACTTAGTAGCACATAGCATATTGATCGAGGTAAGTTCAAATTCGGTGATAATTACGTTTATTTTAAAAATCAATCACGATAGATTTCCATTATTTTTTTTAATTTGAATATGACTTGCGATAAACATGATAAACAAATTATGCATATTTTTTTACATAGGAACGTGGCTGTGGAAGTGCAGAAAATACTAATCTTCGAATTGTAATTTTTTAATGGAAAACAAAAGTTGTTTTAAATCTTCTGCACCACGTGATCTCAACATGTTGAAACTGAAGAATCAGAAAAAAATGCATCCATTTCAGACAATGAGATTTTCGGTCGAATGTATGCCGTAACGACTCTAACTCATCTGCGTTTTTGAACTATAACAATTTTGTTCACATGAAAAAAGATATAACACAAAATTCAGCTACATAATATTATTTACCATAGCCAAGTATGAAACATCTTTTCGTTTTCATAAAAAAGGTCGATACCACTGAGGAGATCAAGGCAGTATTCAGTGCTTCTGGTCTGATATGATTTATAACATAATTTTGTAAAAGTCCCTGTTGATAAATTTCAAATTATTAAGAAGCTAACATTCCAACTGCAAGTCCTTTATTCTTGGTAATTTAAAGAAAATATGAAACGAATAACGACACATCACAACTTATGTCACAGGCTGTATCAATTAACATTTTGTCACAGTTCAGTACACATGGCGTTTTCTTGCCAGAAGAATGGAAAATCGATAATTCTTAAAACGTTTCATTACTTCTGCTTTGAACATGATAACGTAATTTATGTTAACATCCCGCTAAGTAATTTTTTTAAGTTTTCCCCATAACATAGTACATGTATAATACGATCCGAATAATCACGCATTGCTTTTAAAACACCACTTGCATTGCAAGATTTTATAACAAACCTTATAAAAGTGTCCGCTAAAAATTTTGAAATCATAAGAAACTCCCTAAAGCAAAGCTGACCTTAAATACATTTGGTTATTTTTTTAATGTTCTTTTTGGTTATATAGCTCTTCAACTGTTTCGGTTCTTATACATACTTGGTTTTCAAATATTCTGTTTTGAGAGTTCCTGGTGAAGGTAAATCCAGAACAGCGCTACGGATGCATAACATTTATAACGTATTGTTTTCATTTTTAACAGCACTGGATCGATACCTCTGTTGGTGTCAGTTCCCGAGGGTATCATCAGCTTAGTAGTCAGTACTTCGGTACTGACACGATATTTAACCAACCTTTCTAAAAGTGTCCGTTGATAAACTTAGAAATTATATCTTACTGAGGTTTCAACTCCCTCAGGCAACGTGGACCTTAGATGGATTTTGACCTTTTTTAAGGTTTTGTTTTTAGTTTATATAGCTCTGCAACTGTTTCGGTTCTTATACATCCTTGGCTTTCAAATATTCTGTTTTGAGAGTTCTTGTTGAAGGTCAAAGGATTTAGAAGTATTGCCGTAGTTGTAAAATAGTTTGCTTCCTTGCTTATAATCGGATGAAATCTGTTTGAAAATCCCCATTTATCTTGACAATATAAGTTATGTAATAATGTCGAAGACAATCAAATGCATTTCAGACAAGTCCTGTGTAAAAAGACATTTTCATTTATTCAAGTTTGAGCAACGAGTCGGTAGTTTATCGGATACTTCACTTCAAATCGACTTTATCAATATTTCAAACATTTTAATGGATGAAACTCGACTTTATTATATTTACTGTCGCTTGTCGTGTTCTTGCAACATGTGCAAGACCATATCATTTATTTATCAGCCTGGGCCAGTAATATTGAATATTATAGGTCTACGATAACCTGTTATTGTTCACTTCTTTGTTCTTTGGTCTATGCAAAGTTGTTTCATTAACATTTATTAAAGATCTCCTCATTATAATATGCTATTTTCCAAAAAACAAAATATACTAGTATTCTTACTGATGCTAAGTTTTTTTACGATATGTGTTTTGCTATCTAAACGACCACTGATTTAACAAAACAATGATATACCCATTATAATATGGGTAATAGTATAGTTTGGACTAATGCTTATGAGAGAGCAAACTAACAACTTAAATATATCTAGATCGGAATAAGTTTTTTGATCCAATAGACAGGTGTTTGAATATTGCCTAAAAATAAATCCGATTTAAAACAACTTGTGAACAAATTTAAAACACTCTATCAAAGATCGGAAATTAACGAATATCAAAATGACAAAAATACCTTGACGATGTGCCTGGCTTCGGACAGACACATGTACATGTGGTGCTGTTAACCTTTTTTTTCTATCTTCAACCTTCTGATTTTTATTTTTATTAGTTAACTTATCAACCTAAATTGACAGAAAATTAACTAAAAATCTTGATACAATCCATGTAAACTCATTGATTCTTTGGATCTTCGAAAAATTTTTGTCGGAAAATATGACAGTTGTTCTTTGCACGTTCAGTTGATTGATACCGTTTTGCTTGATCAGTTTTTATTGATATCCTCTGATTAATGTACATTAAAGTTTGTTATTTTTGTTATATTCTTTTTAATAAGCTTATAATTTAAGGTTATCAATTCATCACTGTAGTGGAATCTCAAGATAGTGTTTTAATGTACAAATATCATTTTTGTTTTTATAGATTAAAACATAACAAACTAAATTTTGCTATGTATGTTTTAGTATCGCATGATCCTAGCCTCTGTCGATACTGTCTAACTATTGTTGGCCAATGCACAAGGTCATGCGTTTTTTAAGACGGTTTATGACGACATAACACTAAATCCGTTGTATATGTATTTGTTAATAACATTTTTGTTTCTTTTTATAGTGATTAAGATTATAACACAATGTTGACTGCTGTATCCCAATTTTTTACATTTTGATGTATTATGTCTGTTTGTTTTGTTCACACATTGTTGTCAATATAATTGAATTTTATGCGTTTGTCATACAAGTTAAAGGTTAAGCTAGCTATAAAACCAGATTTAATCGACCATTTTTTTTACATGAGGAAATGCTTGTATGAAGTCAGGAATATAACAGCTGTTTTCCATCCGTTTGATGTGTTTGAGCTTTTGATTTTGCCATTTGATAAGGGACTTTCCGATTTTAAGTTTCCTTGGAGTTCGGTTAGTTATTTTATTTTTTGATTGATACTTTAGTCTGGAAAACATGATTTATTTATAAGTTGTAGTGTATATTGAACTAGCTTTCAGTAACTGTGTTACTCTTATATCGGGGCTTAGTGACTAATGATTTAATGTATTTTCGTTTATTTATGCTTCGTACCGACTATTTGAGTGAAGCTATTTGCAACTGATTTATTACCGTTTGTTTTCTTATGTTGTGCTGTTACACCACTGTTCCGGATTAGGGGAGGGTTAAGCGCTCACAAACATATTTAACCCCGCCATATTCTGTATGTACCTTCACAATTTTCGTGTCGGGGCTTGCTAGCTGAATACACGATATGGGGTTTTGTCAATGTTGAAGGCTGTACAGTAACCTATAATTGCTTTAATCTTCCTCGTTTGGACTCTAGTTGATAGTTGTCTCATTTACATTCATACCACATTTACTTATTTTTATATACAATAACCATCAGTAAAATAAAGACACACAATAAACAAAGCGATCAACATTGAAAACTATACGTACTTAACCTTATCTGGAATCCTACCGTCCTGCAATTTCATGTCGAAGCTGTAGTACAAAATCTAGATTATCAAAAATGGCCACATTGATGAGGACAAGATGTAAGTGTATTATCCTGAAAAAAAAACCTGCACAGATCATCAGTGCAAAAAAAAAAAGAACATTTAGTTATGTTGATTGTAAATTGTGACATTGCTAATCATGAAATTGATACCAGACGCAATGTTTGGATGCATGTAACGGTATAGTTCATGGACTAATTACCTTTATATAATGCTATAAACAAAAGAAATTCTTAAGGACCTTGTAGGTCTTTTTTCATGCTTGCTTTAGAATTAATGTAACTAATTATCTAGACGCGTTTGTATCTAACGTAATTTTCTATTATCACAAACAATTGAGTTGTCATCAGCTAATATGGGTTGCTGCATTTTGCTAAAAGGTCTCCGCTTTTACTTGTTTATAACTATTCCGGATGATTTGACTTCCATTTCGATGACTATGTGAATGATTTTACAAAATGAAGCTTTATTAGTTCAAGTATATATATATATATATAAATATATATATAATCCCGGCCAGGGAAGAACAAACAATTTGCTTCCGCAAATTTACAGATCTAACATTGTTGGGCTGTTATTCAGACGAATTATATATATATAACTCTAAATTGAAAACAACATTCAAACCTATGACTGTGTTGGATAAAACCCGCAATTTTTTATACGTGTGAATGTAAAACAAATTTCTTGGTAGAGGGGTCTAAATACAGCACAAACAACATTTTCCAAAAGACCAAAAAGTGAAAAGTATATTTTAACAAAACGCATCTAACAGGTCGAACAACTGATTTCCTTAAACCCTGCTTACTGCCATTGGCGATTGCCAAATAAATTGATTACCAGATGTTACATGGATCTTAATTTTTAATTTTAATACCAAACAGAAAACAATAAACTTGCGAAAAGATGGTATATCGCAAACATGAAGTGCAAAAAAAAAATTTATACACCATATCCGGATTACGACAATTAATGTCTCTTCAGTGATGTTAGGGATCAAAACGGTATTTGGAAGGCCATATAATTAACCTCAATTTAGGATAGAACCTTGCATTTTAAAGAGTCGAAATAGGATGAACGGACCATATTAACCCGACGGAAAATATAATACAAGCCCAAACGAAAAAATATAAACAACTCTAAATTGAAAACAACGTTCAAACCTATGATTGCGTTGGATAAAACCCGCAATTTTTATACCTGTGCATGTAAAACAAATTTCTTGGTAGAGGGGTCTAAATACAGCACAAACAACATTTTCCAAAAGACCAAAAAATGAAAAGTATATTTTAACAAAACGCATTTAAATAACAGGTCGAACAACTGATGTTCTTAAACCCTGCTGACTGCCATTGGCGATTGCCAAATTAATTGATCACCAGATGTTACATTTAGACTCTTGAATTTTAAAGAGTCGAAAATAATGAACGGATCATATTAACCCGAAGGAAAATTTAATACAAGCCCAAACGAAAAAATATATATCTATATATATGCATATGCGTTTACATGTGTTAATTTGTAGACGGATCTCCGTCCGTCAATTTTTAAATGCGCCTTTACACTTTATCATATATTTATATTACACAGGTCATTTTGTATTTCATAAGTAATTATTTTCTGAATAGGAAAAACGTCTTGCTGTAATGATAAAACTAGACGCCATTATATATATTATGTATAATACAGTTTGTTAATGCAGGTAGAATGCGATTTAAGTAATTTAATTTTATTTGCAAATTATGACTTACAATACAATCATAGGTCGCAAATTGCCAATCTTGATTCTGTTTCTTCCTTCCAAACTACTGCATCATTTGCTGAAGTCGTTGCAGTATTGACGTCGATCCATTAAAATGTTTAAAAAAAATACTTAATTATGTTTATTTGAATTTTGTTTCATTTGCTTTTTGCTCTTTACTTCTAACATTGGAAAGAAAATACTTCTAAAACAATGGTTTTGAAATAAAAGTTTAGCAAATATAGAATAGGGACTTGAAGAATTGAATTTGATTATAAAACATACTTATTATTCTATAGAAAAAATGGTTGTGACACAACTGTGCTAAATGACTTATATTAACAGAAATGTAATATTATCTATCGCATTTAGATCAAAATAGTTATGTCGTAGTATTTCATTTAAAGCCCCTAAAACAAATCTTAATTTTACCGTTTTAATGATCCCTTGTCGTTAAAAAAATTAAAAAAAAAATACAAACACAATACTTCTTTTAACTTGATCATATTCTTATTGATATAAGGAAGTCACAGTTTAAAACAACAATACGTTAAATAAATAAAGTCAATAGAAGTTTCCCGCTGTAAATAAACACAGTAAATAAACGTCCTGAAATGCAGCAATTGATTCTAAATAAATACAGTAGTTTTCATTGGCGTTTAATGTTAAAAAAATAGAAGCCGCCGTTATATCAATAGCTAGAGAAAGTAAAGTCGGTAGAACTAACGCATATACAGTAATGTGAATGCAAATTGTTTAATAATATTGAATACAATAACAAAGCAATAGGCAATTCACAATACACATGTTAAGAATAACTATATCAAAGCCAAAGCTATAAGTACAACATGTATCAAAATGTTTCAAAATATGAGTACCAAAATTAGATAATGTTATATCATACTAATTTTACTATTTCACAGTCTAATATAAGCAAAGGTAAATTTGTTCAGTTAGCTTCGTCGTGCATTTTGTTTGATGGGTGTCATAGCCGTGTATTACATATAATTTTTAATGGGTATAACTACGGGACGAGTGTTACAACTTTGAAGATTGAAGATTTAACTGCAGTAAGAATTACCTTTCTGTGATAATGTATAAACCTCATATTGCTTATTTTAAAGTTAATTCAAGTACATTATCAAACAAATGATTCAGAAAATATTTTCCTCTATTAGTAGTTCGTCTTACTCGATGTTTTTTCACTGTTGTTTACATTTTTTTTAACTTTTTTGTTAAGCATATCTTTCTTTGATTTCTTATTTTTTCCGTAATTGGGATTAATTGCCCGTTTTCTCATGTCTTTATATGTTTAGTAGTGTTTTTTGTTTTATTTTTCAAGTATGACATCATCAATTAGTTTTGATTTCAAAAGCGTCATGTCTCAACTTCTGATATTGGTAATTGTTTTAAGTCTTATTTCAAGATTAATCACATACCTGTTGATTTAAATACATATATGCTATAAATGAAGCTTGTGTCTGTATATAGAACAGTTGGTGTGGATCCCTGTGATTTATTCATCATCACTAACTGATTTCTACTAGCATAGTAAATATTACTAAACAATACCCCTACAGCATAGTTGATGTTAAAAGAATGCATTGAAAATATAGTTTTAACATCAGAACCATCCACATTAACTGATTTTATATCACTATCGATATTCATCCAATACATTCTTTGTTCAATCAGGTCTAAAATATATGGAAATAGTTGGTTAAACAATTATAACTCATTCATTTTATGAAAAAAAGGGTCACTCAAATGCTTGATTATGATGTTATTGCACTATGTGCATATTTTGATTGATTGACCGATTGATTTCTGGTTAACGTCATTTCAGGATGAAAGGCTAAACATTAATCTACCAATCAATAAACGTCAAATCTATCAAAAGTGTAGCACGAGTATACCTCATAATCAGTGACTAAATTTGATGACAATTCAATTTCAAACGATAATAGTATTTTGAACTAACAAGCAACTCGATGAAATATAGCCTTAGGTAAATTAGCTGACATAATGTGTCGATTAGCTATTATCATGATTATGGTAGACAAATACTAAATTCTGTTTTTTTTCTGTTTTTGAATACTGACCTGTTCTATATACCAATTATATTTCATAACATAGCGTGGTTTAACGAAACTTATCAGGTCAACATTTGTGTAATTTGAAACATTATCTATATATGTAAATAAGATACAATTTATTCATATATCACACTGCCTATTAACGTTTTTTATCTTTTAATTAATGGAAATGTTTGAACCAAATGAAATTTCTCTGACCTTGATCTTCGACTAAATGCTTAGTTACAAAAAATGGGCAAAAAGCTATGTCCTTCTTTGCTGTATGACTGAAAGTGTTGTTATGAGTATACTGTTACGGTAGGCTACATCATTTGTCTTTTATCGATTTTCATATTATCTTGAACAAAAAATGCCTGAAGTTTTTCTACTGATATTATCGTTTAAAAATTGTTCAAAAGTTTCTACCATAGACCATGGAAACGCACCTCTTTACTAAAAAGGACACAAATTCCGCTCTACATTAAAACAGAGTAGTGTGTAAACGATGTAAACGATGTATCTGCTAATTACAAAAATGTCGTTTATTCTCAGAAAAAAACAATAACATTACTTTTTAAAGTTAAAGTTGTTAGCTAAGCGTCTTTTTGAAAAAAATATCACTCCCCTATACGTAAGAACCATATCACAATTAAATATGTGGCCTTTTGTTCGAGTAAAATCATATGTTTCATAAATTCGATTATTTGTTAAAGGAATAATACTAAAGTTGTTTTGTAGGACGTTAAACACCCAGGCTTATTTAGAAAAGTAATGCTTAGTTTTGTTTTTTTTTAATTTGTTTGTGTGATTATGTTTCCCTTAATATTGTGCTTAATTGGTCATCACATTGTGAATACTTTACGCAATATTTACCGACATTATAGATATATTGTTGGGAAATTAGAGTATTATTTCAGCTTTTTAGTTCATCTTTGCATTAATTAATTCTGTACAAATATATTTGTCTGTTATGTGTCTATATTTATGGGCGCTTCCATGTATAGAAATATATACATAACAGTGGCACACAGGAAGACCTATTGTCTCAGCCTTTAATGTTAATAATAGTGTTTTACATGCATATACACAATACAGAAATACAGACATATATAGAAATATTGATGGAAGGAAGAAGGAAGAGAGCAACTTGTAACTTTACATTAAATTGAACACAAGAACATTTTTCATGACACATACCTATATCCATACAGAGGGTCTGAGTTGAAAAATTTGCAATCATTCTAATGTCAGTTAAATCGAATCTGGACTTGGATATTCCTGTATTGAAATAACCTATATACATCCATCTGCAAGAAATGGAGATCAATAAAAAGGGTTTAACATATGTTTGTGTCTGTGTTAGTGATTATGTTCTTACCTTATATAATTTGGTACTAATGGAGAGATACATATAAACAAAATATTCGGTAGGTCAAAAATCGAAAATTCATTTTGCGTTTTCAAAAAAAAAAAAAAAACCCAACTATAAACAAAATCAAGAATAACCAAAACTCACAAATAGCGAGACAAATTATGTTGACAGGGTTAATCGTCTCCTGAATATAGAAAATCTAAAAATTCAAGATATGGACTAGGGAACAATCGTTCAAACGACTTCTCTCATGGTTTTAGTATTTTAAGATCAATGAACAGGAAAACATGTTTCCCCTTGGTCACCAGTAGGAGTGCACTATTGTTCTTATTTGATGGACGACCGTTTGTTGAAATATTTTTCAATCAAACTCCAAATATATGTTGTCGAACAACGAGTCTGTCATTTTCATAAGATCGCTTTCGGTGCAATTGTTGTTGGATTTTGTTTTTTTAATTGTCATAAATCATTGATTTTATGTCTACTAATTCCTTTATTTTTAATGTTTCTTTTTAGGAAAAGAGCACTGTTTAATAAGAACATGTTGGTGATTTTAATCCATCATTACAAATGAATGTGACGAGTGAATTCAAATCTTAGGTTTTGATATTATTTCCAAAAAGTAACGATTGTGATTGAACATTTTTGAGTAGATCTTTAGAACCAATGATATCTATCTTTTTATACAAGCGATCAAATGGGTAACAATGGGTTTGTAATCAGAATTGAACGAGTATCTGATTTAAGGATGTTCGCTCTTCTTGTTTTTGATTTTTTGTCAGATATTCGGAATCCTCTGGTTTTGTCCATGTTTTTCCATTAAGAAATTTTGTCCACTAACCCCTACTTTTCTTTTCATAATTTTATTACATATAGTTTGAAAAGCCATATTTGAAAATCTTATAAAATCCTTTTTATTTTTTCAATGTTTTGAAAGAAAAAAGGTGCCAATGTTAAATGTATGAAAAGTCTAGAGAGAATCAATTCCAGCTAAATTTTCAATGGCTTATATCTCGAAAACAAGCACACGGACCCTTCATTTTTTTCTGCTTTTTTAGTTCCTTCATTTATATACTATCAATTTATGACAGTCTTTCAAAAAGCTTGTTATTTTGAAACAGAGTAGCGAACATCCTTAAGTAAACTTCTTTGTGTAGGTTGTGTGGAAGTAAAGTATAGAAAATAGATCTCTCAATGAAACTGAAAGGGTAATTACAACTCGTTATTAACCAAAAATATCCTACTTGGTTTGTTGTACATTCAAGAAATAGTCCAATAAAACTTCGATTAGTTTCTTAGCTTTATTACAAATTTTAAAAACAAGTTCTCATTATTTCTCAGTTGGGTACAACCGTCATGTTTGAAAATCACAGGTCGTATTCAGTGACCTTTAACCTTTAACTTCTAATAGAGATTTACATAACACAATGTTAAAAATATGTTTATATATAATACCTGTTTGTAAAATCAACTCGGATCATAAAAGTGTCACTAAAACTTGTGAATACAACTACGTTTGTTCCATCTGATTTGCATCTTGAAAGTGTGTTACCATCACTAACAACCCAGTAGACATGATCATTGGCGGAATCAACAGCTACACCTGCTGGAAAGGACGATGTATTCACAACATGTTGCAATTGTATGTTCTGTGAGGATATGGAAATCTAGAAAAGAAATTAAAAATTACCGTGATGCACTAACAAGTTCATTCGTTTTTATTATTTATAGTGTTTCATAACATCATATCTAACCGGATTATGATTTATATCTCAAAAACAAACATTCAACCCCATCATGAAATAGTGCATTTACAAATGTTCTTTATCGAAATAAGTGGTTAAACATGACCAACAGAATTAACTTTAAATTACAGCTAAAAAAAAGTTTATATTTACGTCAAATATTTTCCTTTTAATTCATAAATAGAAATTGTAACATTCTCTGAAAATACTGAAAGTCGAATACCAGCTGTTTTTTTTTTTTCAAATTTGTTTCGTTGTTTTTTTTAATTTTTTTTTTTTTTTCGATATAAAACAAATAAAAAAATTATTGTATTTTTTCATTAAGAAATCTATCCAGAAGAAAATAGTTGAACAAATATGGTGACCTCATAGTATTTTTCATTTTCACCCAGAAAAATAAAAAAAAAAAAAAAAAAATTTGTTAAATATTTTATAATTATAATTGAAAATTAAATGATAGTCAACAGTGAAGCATTTTTTAATGTTCTTGTTACACTGTTACACATAAAGTAAATTATTTCGCTGGAAATGATTTGGAAATTTTAAATTTTTAAGATTGAAAAAAAAAAGATTTTTGCACCACTATGCACATTGACAATGCTAAAAACATATTATTTCTATTATAGAAAGTACATTCATTTCATGATATGCTTTGATGACTTAAGAGAGGTATAGTTATCTCTGTAGACCTTTGTGTGATGTTAACTAATGATATGTAGGATTGGTGATACAATAAAGAAAACAAATTGTGGAGTTATTCTATTTGCAGCAATCAACTTATATCATTGAAGTCATCCATTCGAACGTTTAAGGGAAGGTACCAAGTTTTGGTTGGCCGTTATTGATTATCTCTGATAGAGATAATCGCGATATTTGCCGACTGACGTAGCCACAACTCCGCCCCCTTTTTTCTGACATCATTGAATACAATATATCACCTCAATATTGCTTGACAAGAATCCTGACAATAGCTCACCATTCCAAAGCACTTGAGTTCTTCTCCGGTTTTGGCGGCAGAGCTGTAGCTAAATTTTAATGTTTTGTGTAGTATTTGTTTGCTAGTTCTATGTTTTCTGTATCTGTTCTTACTGATCATGATATCATCTATTTTTCTTCGAGAAATGGTGTTTTCCATGCGACTTTACTATCGCCTTCCGATATTATTTTTTTATATTTTAACTGCCAGTGACGTAATTTCATATTAAAAACCTTTTTAAGTTCATGTTGTACTATAAACAATGTTTCAAATTACATACATAACTGTAACAAAAGCACACAAAATTAAACGATAATAAGTATTGATCATCAGTTGTTTTTTTTTTATTCTGTACCGGTAAATGTAAATTTGCCATCTTCATCAATTAATACCGACATGAACAGACTAAGTCTTCCATTTTGAGGATGTTTTGTCATTTTCAAAGAATAAACGCAATTAAAAATCAAGGTAAATAGTTATTTATATTGGCACGACCGGGAATAACATACTTTAAAGAAAGACATCTTTGTAACATATTAGTTCCTCTTTAGATATAAGAAGATGTGGTATGAGTGCCAATGAGACAACTCTCCATCCAAGTCAAAATTTATAAAAGTAAACCATTATGCATAGCTACAACTATCAAGATATGTAACATTTCATTTGTAGGTAACGTTAGCATTACACATGTTAAATGGAAGCTTAAATCAGTACCTCTGGTGGATAACAACAAAGATGTTTGAAATTGAAAAAAATGGCATATGTTGTCTATTTTTGTATTAGACAAGTTATCAGAAGAGGTGTAATCGTAAACACGACTATCAACGACCGATGTTAGTTGCAAGTTGATTATCGTTTTCTCGAATAGTCTACCTCTTATATTTTCTCTAGCTTAACCCATTTCTGGTAAACAATAAAACTGTCCTTTTGAAAATAAATCAAGAAAATTACATACGAATAAGTTCATATGTTGTCTATTTGATTCTTCAATCGTAAGATTGTGTTGCATTTATGTTTTATTTAGACAGGTCAAATGTTGAAAGTTATATTCCATGGGTTAACAAAACAAAACCTAGTAAAAAAATGAAAATCTTTTTTTTAAAGAAACGCCATTATACATGTTATACATATTGGATATAAATGAAAGATATTCACTGTCAATGTGACATCAACATATTGTGTGTGTATAAGTAATACCAGGAGTTGTTAATAAAGTGTTTGTAGAATATAAATCATAAGTAATTGTATGTCAGCATTTGTAATCGAGAGGTACCATGCACGGAAGGATGACTATTATTGATTAATGAAGACAACAATCGCATGTTCGAACCTCGAATATGTTGTAAGTTTATGGGAGGAGAGAGTTTGTAAATTAAAAGTTGGAATATAATTTCTAAAATAATGATTAATAACAAAATTAAGAAATCAAAGACGAGCGAAACCGATTGCACCGACGGGGTTACTCCCACCAAGTACTATTGAGATGAAACAACATGGTTGCCAAATGCAAGAAACGGTTACTGATATTCATATTGACTTTATCTAAACCTAAGACAAAATGTCTTATAATGTTTCAAATTATCATATTAAGCATACAAATCAATGAAGCCAATAACTTATGGTTTTATAACTAAATGTCGAGAACATGAAATTGTCAACAATGGATACATATTAACTCATTTGTTTCATACGACGATGTATGCTATTGTCGGTTCGTGCGTCTATAACATGTATAAAGTTTCCTTTGATATACCTTTGCCAAATTATAGCAGATGAAAATATTTTTAGATGTTTCATCTTCTTGGACGATTAACGGGTGATCAATTCAGTAAGAAAATGACAAACAAACCTTTTTTTTACATCGCACAGCATTTCAGTTTCAACATTTTTGGGGTAAATTATGATTGTTATGTAAAGTTATTAATTATATCTTATAAAAGGTACTCTTTACAACCTCTTTTTGTGTTGTTTTTACAACAGTGACAGAAAGGAACTATGTGGAATAAGTTGCTTATATTTTACTGCAAACATAGGGAATAAAAAATGCTTATAAAAGGAACATTTTGAGAATTTTTTTTTTAATTAAACAAAAAACAAAAAATCCTCTAGTAAAACAATTTCATCTCATTTTCTAGAAATTGAAAAGTAGATAAACTTTAAATGGAACAGTTTCAAAATTGTATGTGCAATTGATTCCCAAAAAATGAGAAAAACATACTCTAATGAAGAGCATTGCTTATTTATCATTGTGTTATTGTCAATTGAAAATTTAAATACTGTTTATGTGATCATGTCTTATTTAAATATTTGAATAGTATAAACGTTACCATATTCCTACTAACGTTAAAAAAAATGAAAACAAGATTGATGAAAACATCATGAACATAAAGGATATAAAAATAATCTCTGCGCTCCCTGTCTCATATTCTCACTTTAATTTATGTTAATTTCGCACTTTTATCAAAATACTAGATTCTTAAAAGCTACGCAATAGTCTTAGAGTAACTGTAAATGAACAACAAAACAATTACCATGTTTAATACAGATATAAATCTTATCAGAATTCACAATCGAATCGACCAATCGTAACCTTTGAATTTCGAATCTATTTTCTCAATCTTCTATATCGAGTTAATGTTAGTTAAAGCGTATTTGCAATTTCAAAATATTCAAATATTCTAATATTGTTTTGGATAATTTGCTCTTAGCGTCAAGAGAAACCTACAATTTTATCTTATTGAATTCTTGAAAAATTTGTTAGATATTCTATCAATGTACAAACGTACACTTACCGCACAATATCTCCAAAAGTGTATCTTGGAAAATAAACGTATCTGTTTTCGTAATCGTAGTCCACAGAATACACAATACTTCCTCCATGCCCAACAAGCACAGTCACATTGGCCGTGTCAACATCAAATTCAATCATTGAATGGGAACTTGCAAACAGAAGTTTTCCACGGACAGCTGAAAACAACATTGTTCAACTGATTAACCAAATTAACATTTAGATAAAATAACAAGATACTATTGGGGATACAAACACATAATATCTTGTCATAGATAACTTTTGATATATGCATTTCTTTGAATAGTTCAAATGCCAGAAAATGTAAAGTCCTGATGACAAATAAATAAATAGTCCTTCTATCTGCCGTTAGGGTTTAAGGAACGATAACTGTATATTTCATCAAAAGTTGGAATGCGCAATGCAATCACAACTTTTTTTCACGAGACGCATGCAAATCTGGCAGACACGTATAGAAATAAGGTAGTTTTTTTTGGATTGAACTGTAATGAAACATGGTTTAAAGATAACGGTTACAACAACATGAACAAGTATGAATGTAATTACAAAAATCTTCTAGCTTGCAATGAAATAATTGCATTATAAAAGAAAAACAAGGCAAATTCTACGACCAAATAATTTGTTATCGTGAACAGACCTTAAATATTTGCGTATTTCCATCATTAGTACTGTTATTTTCATCTGTTTTTTACAATAAATAAAGTCGTTTTATTGAACAAAATCATTTCTTTATGTCGCATAATGCATTCTGATGCACGTTGACTGAATATGAAAGTGCATATGTAGTTGTCTCCCTGACTAGTATAATCAATTTCAGAATGTGCATAGCTGGCATTATGATAAAATAGTATTTAATAAATAATTCCAAGCATTACACAACAAAAGACATTAGACATTTACTAAAAATGATAAAAATTGGCTTGATATGAAATGCCATACCCCTCCCCCGCCCCTAATAAAAGCAAATGGTCCATGCCTTACCACATTATTCCTCTAAAATAAGCAATATGGCATGTCACATATTGAGCACCTGCATTGCTGCAAGTGTGATGAACTTCCACTTTTTGACATGGTTTTTATAACTGAAATTAATCCACATCATTGGTTTCATGATAGTATTT